ACTCGACCACTACACAATTGCATATACAGTAACACAAGCTAAGTGAAGTGCACTACTGAGATCAACAATCAACGAGTGCCAACAAGGATAATAGTGACTGAAATTTATTTATTGTTATTATTATTATTTTATTTTATTTTAGGGATTACGTATGGCCCGATCGCAAGCTAATAATACTAATGCCAATAAAATAAAAAGCAAAGGTACAAATGTTAGGTCTAGTCACGTGGGGTAAACGAGAAAGCAATGGGAGTTAGTTTGTGAATTTCAATCAATTAGATTTGAGGCAAAAATTATCAAAGGGCTAGCTCACAATGAATTAACTTATGCAATTCTAAAACAAAGAAATAGTGTCAACTAAAATAGATAGGAGTAGGAACTCCTTAAGTTCAGTTGGCCTGAGTCGTCCCTGCGTCGAATGTCTTCACTTTCTGAACTACTAAGCTCTGAAATGCCAAGACAGAAAATTTCGTGTTCGTCGAGGTGCGGTACTGATCGGTCAACTAAAATAAACCTGTAAAATAATGTCAGGAAATTCTCAAAATTCTCGATTTTATTTTATTTTATTTTGCTCTTTTCTTCTCTCTTTTTCTTTTTTCTTTTTTTTCAGACTCTTACTCTTTTTTTTTTTAACTAATACAAATCAAATAAACCTTATGTAAATGAAACAATAGGGACTAATTGAGGTCCAAAATAAAATAAAAGCATTAAAACACAACAAAACTTTAAAAATAACTCCCGACCAATTTCACACGTGAAACAACCCAAAATTAGAGGATGAAAATAGAGGCAGGGAGTCATGAGCAAAGCCCTAGGCGACTGTCAAAGCTTTAAAAATAACTCCCGACCAATTTCACACGTGAAACAACCTAAAATTAGAGGATGAAAATAGAGGCAGGGAGTCGCAAGCAAAGCCCTAGGCGACTGTGGTGAGCTGGCTTTGGTGGTTGAACTGAAAATCGCCGATGAGAAATATCAGCAGTAGTGAAGGTTGGCATGTATACCAGTCGGCGTCATAGCTTTTCGAAATCTAGAAGAGCAGTTGGTCAATTTGCAGTTTAGTGTTGGTGGCGTTGGAATATGGTGGTGTTGAAGGACGGCAGGGACGGTGATTATCGGATGGGCGGTGGACGGTGGAAGGAGTCTGGGGTAGTGGGTGGTTTTTTTTATCACGAGTGGGTTGTGTTGAGGGTTAACTGCATGTCGTGGATTAACTGTAAGGGAAAAACGGTTGCGTTAACTACATGTCGTGGATTAACTATATGGGAAGAACGGTTGCCTTGTTGTTTTGTTTGGATGTAATTCTGGTGATAAGGTCATATGTAGAAGATGATGCTGGGAATTATTGCAGGTAGTTGTGGTGGTTGTTTCTCCAAGTCATCAGTGGGTAATTACTGACAGTTTCTTCTCTGCATTTGTTTCAGCATGAAACAGACAGAAGTGCGGCCATTTTATGACAAAATCCAGGTTTTAGCTCTGATACCAATTTGATGTAGGATAAAACAAGAAGGGGAGGAGAGGGAGAAGAAAGTGAACAGAAAAATACGAGAGAGAAAGGAGAAGAGGAGAAGAACCAGGGGAAGAGAGGGGAGGGAGAAAATGGGGGCTGCAGCCAACTTTTTATTCAATCAATTCATTGTCTCAATTACAATGTAAAATAGATTTAAATACTGAAAATACTGCAAACCTAAAAGATAGGGCCAAGCCCAATACACAAGTCCATAAAAATAAAATATAACCCAAGTCCAACTAAGAAATAAAAGTCCAACTAAAATAATTAAAACTGGGATGTCCTCATCACATGTCCTCAAACTCTCCTTTACTTTCACTCACCACCTCTCCATTATCCAACAACACCATTACCCATTTATTTGGGCATTGAGAAGTAATGTGCCCTGACCCCAAGCATCTGAAACACTTGATGTCTCGATTCCTTGGTGGTTGTGAATCTGTTTTGGGTGCTGTTTTGCTAGCACTTTCTTCTTTTCCTTTCTGCCACTCATTCCTACCTTTAGGTACAGTTTTATCACCTTTGTTGTTGTTGTTCCACCCTGGCTTTCAAGATAGATTAACACTCGAAGTTCCTAACAGCTGCCTAGCTGCCCCTTTCCTCTTCAATTGTCTTTCTACCTTCATAGCCACATGCAACATGTCTTCCAACTCCACATAATGTTGCAACTCCACTACATTGACAATTTCCCTATTCAACCCATTCAAGAATCGTGCCATGGTAGCCTCCCGATCCTCCATCACATTGGCCCTAATCATGAGTATTTCTATCTCCTTATGATAGTCCTCTACACTTTTTGACCCTTGATATAGACCTTGCAGTTTTTGATGGATCTCTCAGTAATAGTGGCTAGGAACAAACCTCTTTCTCATCAATGACTTCAATTCCTCCCAAGTGCTGATTGGTCTTCCCCCACTCCTACGTTGTGAAGTAATCACTTGATCCCACGATGAAATTACATAGTCACTGAACTCTAAAATTGCTAACTTCACCTTTTTCTCCTCCGAGTAGTTATAACACTCGAAGATCATTTCAACCTTCCTTTCCCACTTCAGGTATGCCTCAGGATCACTCCTTCCTTTGAATGAAGGAACTGTCATTTTTATATTTCGCAAGTTTCCATCCAACTCCTCCCCGCGATCATTCCGACCCCGTCTGTCGAACCTATTGCCTCTCTTCCTCATCCTTCCCATCTCAACACCGTGAAATTCATTTTCGCCCATGTCATTCCCATATCCATACTCCTCTCGCCTTTCCCTTCTAGGCTCCCATCTATCCGGTCCTCTGGCATTGGATACATCTACTCGATGCCCCCGACTAAGATTAGCCACCGATGTATCTAATCTATTCATCTAAGCCTCCTGTTTTTCCAACTTATCTCTCACATCTCCAAACGCCCTCTCAAACCTCAGCACCAAATCCTCCAATACATTGTTATTATTGTCTTGTCGGCTTGAGTTTGATTCTGTCCTTTCTGACATCCTAACACTAAAAATTTTATTTTACTGCCTCACCAAAAGTCACTCGGAAACACACAAGGGCTTTTATCCTCTATTAAGCTCACCTCTCTACCTTTTACCACTCAGTTCTTTCAACAATTGCTTTTAGGAACAATCAATGAACTCAATCAATTAATTAAATCGTGTAGAATTCCCCAAACCGGATGTGACTCAATAATTGTAACAAAGGACTCAAAGAAAACTTTTAAAACTTGACTTGAATTGAAGGAATGGAATGATTCAATATGTCCAAGTAATTTAGAAACGATATTGAATGATAAAAGTTGGTATTTGACGGATCAATAATATTTAACATTTTTTTTTTACTGTACGAATGAACAGTAATTTTTTTTTTAGATCCGGAAATCAATAACAAAACCAACGAAGAAAATGAAAACTGATTTGGGCGAAAATTGAGCCCAGAAACGGAATTTGAAGATTTTTGATGAAACTTTTGGATCAAAGGATCAAGAAAACCTTCTGGACACAAAAACACAAGGAATTAAAAAAAAATTAGAAAAACAAATGATATAACCTGATTAAATTGGAGCCAAAGCTCTGATATCAACTGATGCTAACCCCGTAGCAATGGAAACTACGAAACCCATAACAAGATTGATGCAGAACCCAAGAACGCCAATATTAACCCGGTTTTGGATCTTGAACCCCAAGAATTGAACCAAGAAACCCTACATTAGCGAAGAACCTAAAAACCCCTTGATTACAATTAAAAGAACCCACAATCCGATTGTTTAGAACGCCACAAGAAATTGAATCTTGATAAATTTCAAGATTGTTCAAGAAGAACAAGAAATTGAAAGAACAAATTCTCTCTCTATAATATTATTCAAGCAAAAGTTATTACAATGAAAAATATTCTCCTATTTATACTAATGAGTAAAAACGTCCAAAACCCATCAAATTATGGTAATAATTTGATTTCATAAGAATTCTATCGAAACTAGGAAATTCGGCCAAAATTGAAAAATTCGCCAAATTTTTGGCTTGTGCGGCCGCATGGTGTATTTCCATGCGGTCGCATGGTTCAACAAGAAATCCCATCCTGATTTTCGATATGCCACCGTGCAGCCGCATAGTGTTTTTGCTTGTGCGGTCGCATAGGCTTGTTTTCAGCCTCCGATTTTGTCGCTTAATAACAAATTGATCCAAGTTGATTCGACTTTCGACTCGAACATAAAAGTTGCTCCATTTTGCGCCCTGAACATTGTGCCTTCATTGACTTGCTTGACGAGCAATCCCATCGCTTCTTTCACTTGCTTCATCCTCAATCGCGTCATCGGTCCACCTTCGACGATCAACGGATCCTTCCCGTGACTTGACGCTTGAGTTGTCTTGGTTGTTGACGCGCCTTGATTCATATCGTTCTCTGTCTCCCATCTCAATTTTTTACTGAGTATTTGATTGTAGATTTTAAACATCCTTTAATACCTATCATGGTGTAAATGCATTAACCCTGTAAATGCACTTGTAAATGCATTAACCCTTTCCATATCCCAAGAACATGGAACTTAAATATGTAGTCGTGTGGCTTATCATATTTATGAAAGTTATTTGTTATTAATAAATAGGTATAGCGAGAATTAATATTTGGGAAATTATTTGTTATCTAACTGATGATGGCATCTATGAAGCCCTGTTTGATTTAACAGATTAATATGGAGTTTCTATTATTTGATTAGTGTTATTCTTCCATTTGGATGAAATTCCCGAAGTCTTGAAAGCTGTACAAATGCATGTTCGAGTCATAAAATAAGTTGAGGTTAGCAGTTAAGATTTCTTATATTGGAATGAATGAACATTCTTCTAGCTTTCACATGATTTGATTCGGCATAGCAAGCAGAGCAATCTTTGTTGTGATCTCATACATGTCTTGTTATTGCAAATTTACATGTACAACGATTTACCAATCTGAATATCCTCGTGATTTCAACAGAAGTTAGTATTCAGTTTATACTTTTCCTGTGATACAGGAAGTCGGGGAGTACTTCACCAACTATATTGTGAATGATAGTTTAGGAATCATTGCAAATGCACATACTGTCTTTGCTGATGCAGAACCATCCAAGGCATTGAGTGAGCCTTGCATAGAATTGGCAAAGCTGTTCTCCATTGCTGTCGACTTTCCCAAAACCGGTGTTCCTGCAGTTATACCACCTCATTTACGTGTGAAAGAATATCCAGATTTCATGGAAAAGCCCGACAAGACAACCTACGAATCGAAACATGTGATCGGAAAGCTTTTTAGAGATGTGAAAAACATCGCCTCCCACACTGCTCCAATTCAATCTTCTACCCGCGAAGTGGCAATGGAGTCATATGATCACGACATGGAAGTAGATGGGTTTGAAGAGTACATTGAAGAAGCATTTCATTACAAAACTGAGTATGATTACAAGTTAGGTAATCTGATGGACTATTATGGCATAAAAACTGAGGCTGAAATACTGAGCGGTGGTATTATGAAGACATCAAAGAGTTTCGATCGAAGACGAGATGCAGATGCCATTGGTGCGGCTGTGAGGTCATTGAGGAGTGAAGCTAGGAAAATGTTCAAGAAAGGAAGTGAATCGAATGATATGGATGCAAAAGCATCGGCTTGGTATCATGTCACTTATCATCATGAATATTGGGGTCGCTACAATGAGGGATTGAATCGGGATCATTATATCAGTTTTCCGTGGTGTGTATACGACAAGCTAGTCCAAATCAAGAAGGAGAAGTCCAGCCGTAGAAGGTCTCTTCAAATGTCTTCACTTGAAAGGAAATTCAAGCTTGGTATGGGTTTGACCTGAGAAATGTAACATGCCTCGAATGTTTGATATTAACTATAAACCGTAAACTGATTATAAAGACTCCTATTTGTATCTAATTGCGGCTACTACAGCTGCAAAAAACGAGCCAGATGTGCTTGGTACGAAATTTGATTCTTAGCATAGATCAGCACTCAAAGTTGATTCCTATATAGTAAATAAGAAATTTAAGTAGAAAATATACTGATACTGTCTATTCCAGAATGGTCTTAACTAAGATTTAAATAAAAAAAAAATATACGTTTTCGTCAGCTTCCTTCTCGCTAAACGTTGCAGAAGCTCTAGAGTATGATGAAGGAGTATAATTTTTTACACACAATAGAAAAAATTAACAATAAAAAAAAGTGTATAAATAACAAATATAAAACAATAAATCCTACCATGAATATCAGTCCAAAACCAATCCCGAACACACATGAAAGCTTCTAGAGTTTTCGGGTGAATCCTATTTCTATATGGACTCACAAATCTACCACTTGTACTAAACGTCGATTCGGATGCCACAGTAGATACTGGAATGGCTAATAAATCTCTTGCAACCTTTTGTAACGTCGAATATTTTATTGAATTTGCTTTTCACCATGTCAATAAATTAAAACCATCCATCCTTGGTAATACTGGCTCGTCTAGAAAAATATCGAACTCTGTTTTTACATGATCAGCAATAATAGAATGGCTAACCAATGTAACAAATTTTCGGAGGCGACGACGACTTTGACCATGGAGGCAGTGGAGCCGTGCGTGAGTTTGTGGTTTGAGGAAAGTAGGGTTTGCATTTATATACTATCATACTAATGCTATTATTATGGGCTAATAGTAAGTGCGCTGGTCGGCTAAGTCAGGTAGATGTAATGGGGGGATTTATTTTTTTTTAGCGGGTAATCGTTTCGGTTTCAGTTCGATGGTGTAAATATCATACCCGCACCGCCATGAACCGGTTCATTAAAATCAAAACCATATCCACCCCATTGCACCATTGGTTTGATTTTTTTCACCCCATTCGGTTCAGTTAACCACGATTTTGAATTTTGACGGTTCAAATTGCCATCCCTAATTTAGGTATTGATTTTAATTGGTTATGTCTAATATGGATGTATCTTTTTAATTGTAATGTGTTTAGTTTTAATTGAGTTAGATAAAAATTTCAATTAATTTATTTTCATTTTTTTGGTAAATGATTTGATGATTTGAAACCGTTTGTAAAAATTGAAGCCTAAATCAAACCTTAAAATGGTTTCGTTTGGTTCAAAATCAAATCTTTTTGACTCATCTAGGTGGATACAAATCAACGGTATCGAAAAAACGATTTCAATTCGACAATTTCATTGTTCAATCCTAATGACATATAAAATGAATTCATAACTTTGTTTGAGCTAGATAATTATCTTTTTTGTGTGAAATAAATAAGTAAATAAATTGGGACAATTATATGTTCACATAAGGATTACTACTACTACTACTACTACTACTACTACTACTACTACTATGTCAACCTTCGCGAAATGTTACTGAACTACTGCACTTATCTAGTGAAAATTACAGATGGTCCCCAATTTGCTGAAAATGTAGCAAGTAGTCCTTCAACACAATATTTTGGCCGATTCAGTCCCCAGTGTTTCATTTTTTTTCTCTAACATCTGGGTCCCCAATTCATCGCTTTACCCTTTTCTGTAGTTATAAAAATTCATTTACAAAGAAAATTATATCCTTATGTTAAATTAAATAAAAAAAATTCCTAAATAACAGAAAGCACACAAAAATAAAAGTCAATAAAATTTTGATTGTTTAATCAAACTTAAGGATAAAATTATCTACTATGGACTTGAATGTGTTCCGAAAAAGAAAGGGTTGGAGACTGCAATTGCCAAAGGTAATAAGTTTGATGACCAAATTGCTATACTTTCAATATATTTGGGAGTACTCCAACTATAATTTTCCTATGGACCATGCTACATGAACATTAAGGGTTACATCTGGGGCTACATAATGGACACGGGGCGCCTCGACATTGGCCGAGGCGCCTGCCGCACCTCAGGCCCTTTTTGGTGTGGTTTTCAATTATACATTTTATTAGCTTCTTTTAAAATCTATCAAAAAATTTTATTTATAGCTACACCAAACGGGGGCTTGATGGATGATGTCTTGACCCCTCACACACTTACTTTTTGGATAGGGATAGTTAAGAAATTAATCAAATGGTGATTACTCATAAAGTAAATCTAGATTCTTACGATATCACAGTTCAATTTCGATTCTTCTAGTCTAATTTTTTCTTGATAGATGAAATTTAAGAGACAAAACAACTTCTCATCCCTTGCTATCAAAGTTTACACATTCTTGGCCGTAAATAGCTTGAAAAATTTTCCAACTGTGCTTGCACAATTATTTTATCACTCACTAGTAAAAAATTAATGTAGAAGTTACTTTAAAAATTTTAATAAATAAAGAGATGTTTTTTTTTCCTTAAAACTTGTTTACTTACAAGTTAAGAAAAGAAATCTTACGACGTGATTGAGAGAAATTATTTTCAAGTGCTTTTTGACTTCAATCACGTCGATGGTGCGTTATTCCCAAAGCGCGTTTTAGCTCATTGGCTGATAAAAAAAAAAAACCTTTAGCAAGCTTTTAACTTTCTTGTTTCATAAGATTGAGAGTAGACTTCATCAAGTCTTTGTGGAAGATAAGGATCAACAATGTTGAAATGGTACAACATCGTCATTTGTCGTTGTTTCTTTTTCTTTTTAGGGTTAATTTTTAAGGAGGTCACCCAACTTTAAGCGAAACTACAATTAATTTTTCCAACCTTAAAAAAAATCTCGATCAAGTCACAAAAACTTCATAATTATTTCAATTCAACAACTCCGTTAGTTGGTATTAATGCAAAGCAAGTAGAATCCACATACGACATACATGGATTACGGAAATTTTTTAATGCAACATGTTATTCAACGTTTGCGAAAAATTTAGATTGAAATTGTGCTTATCGAATTCTAGCAATTTCATTCATTCAATCTTTTGTCAGGTTTTAACATCCACCCAAGCAAGTCTAGTTAGTTTTAGTCATACCTAGCATGATCTAAATTGGAAAAATAAAATAAAATTATAGTTTGGTGATTTAATCAAGACATTTTAAATTTGGGTGACCTGACGAAATTAACCATTTCCCCAAAATTAGCCCCTGTCTGACAATCATTTATTTCGGACTCTTTTCTTTACATGTTCATTTTCAACCACACATTCAAATAATAAAATAATTTGTATATAAATCGAAATTTTTTTCTACTTTTTAATCACATATTCTTCTAAATATTACCATTCAAAACTCTATTTTCCCATCTAACGATTGTCAAACCGGGGCCTACTCTTTTCATTTCCTGGAACCTAAGTTCTTAAGTAATAAAGTGAATGGTCCTAGTAGAGTTCTACTTTTTGATTTTATGTTGTTTTCAGTTCTCATTCACTTTGCCCAGTGGGAACTAAAAATATTATTACTTATTTAAATCAAAGTTAATAATTAATTTCAATAACATATTTTATAGAATCTACAACCTTTAGCCACATATTTTATCAACTTTTATCAAAATTTACTATAAATATAATTTTAATACCACAAATCAAGGGCTTTAATTTGTTTACAATAGTCGTCATATTTGTTTATTGACATATATGTAATAAAAAATTATTATAGTTTCTTAAGTGTCATCTTCTTCTTGAATCCTTTCATATTTTGGAATCTTACAAAGCACACACCATATGTGATATGCAACTATGTACTAACCATGAATTATATAACTTAAATATGGAAAAAAAAAAAAAAGCTTATCTTAGTAAAAAGGAAAATTAATAATGTAAAATCAAATTAATAAAAGAAAAGTAATGTACAAAGTTTCTGAAAATTTATACATATTGCGAATCATAAAATTAAAAGTTGCATGAATGGAAAAGAATAAAGTAAAATAGCATAAAAAAAGTTAGCAAGTAGGAAAAGTATATTTTTATATTTCTGCGTTTTTGATCTGACAATATATTCAATGACTTTTCTAAAATGAGTTAGCAAAAATAGCATGAAAACAGTTATTAGTGCACAAACAATAGCTTACTATTTTTTCAATAATCAATGACTTAAACTTCAAATTCAAATTACATTGAAATAATGAATTGCTCATTTTTATTCTTACCTATCGCATAAAGATAGGATTAAATTCAAATATTAATATTAGGGATAATTGCTACTACTGTTCTAAACATTTCAAAAATGTGCAAGTTTTATCCAAACCTTTGATTTATAGGTCATCTCCGACCCTCACACCATTCCCCCACATTTCACCATTTTGCACCAACATTTCAAAAATTTGTAGGTATTATATGATATAATGTTTGCATGTAATATTCTGCATAACATGGTAATCAAGGATGAATGTGATCGTGATACAGTAGTTCAAGATTAGATGGAAACGCCAACTTCAGAAGTTGAGTTGGTTGAAGAAAAAACCTTCAAGAATTTATTGCTCATCATAGACAAATCAAGAATAAACAGGCTCACATTACACTTTGAAATGCATTAATTGATCATCTGTGGGATGAATAAAAGAAATTCGAGAATTAAATAACAACACTAGTTGTTACACTCGTTTCTAATATTATGATTTAATATTTTCTTAATTGTGAAAGAATACTTTAAATCATAGAACTATAATGAAATATACGATCAACCAACATTTATTGAATTTGCTATTTGATCCCCATCAAAATCTGCATTGAATCCCTTACAAATTAATGTTCCATGGAGCTAAGGTCCAAAATATGGAAGAAAGAAGCGTGTTCACAACTTTAGATAGTCCTTTGTGGCTCCTATGGCGACTAGATCAACGCGTTTTTGCTTCAAGAGAAAGTCCCATTGAAATTCACTATGAATCTTTATATACTTATTATGAGATTTATGGACATCTTTCGTTAGACAACCACTACGTCTATATCATTTCTCATAGAAAGTGCGTATACACTTAACAAAGCGACGAAACGTAGAAATCGATCACTGATCCAATTTGAGTATTTCTATAGGATAGACCTCAACAGAAACTATTAATTGTACTACATTTTTT